GTCTTCCATAACACCTCAGCAGTGCCACAGGCTGATAGCTTCCATGCCACGCCGCATTGAGGCAGTAATTGCTGCAAAAGGGGCCCAAACCAAGTACTGAGTACATATGCATGCGTATACTTTTCAGAGGTCCGATATTGTTCTATGTACAATCCTTGTTTTATTGATTGCATGTAATATTCTAATTTTCTGAGATTGTGGATTTGGGGTTTTCATGAGCTGTAAGCCATAAATCACAATTATGACAAATCACAGCTTGAACTATCTTGCTTTGCATGTAATGAGTCTCTCTCATATATTAGTTTCACCTTTTAAGTTGCATTACTGAAATAAATGAACTTTTGCACGATATTCTAATTTTTCGAGTTTCACCTGTACTATCTTAATTATGTCAATAATTGACAGGGTAGAAATTCTACCCTTGTCAGTTCTTCAAAAGGGGAATTCCCATTGGTTTGTACTTTTTATATAAAAAAGTCGGTAGTTTATGAATATTCAGACCTGGTGCACACTAACGCTGTGCGGGAAACGTAGCGAACCATATTGCAATCGTACACCATCTATACGATCTGGTGCGTGTCAAGGTTAAATCAACACCCCAAAACAGATTGCAAAACGCACTGCGGTTGCCAGAATTTGTATCGCATGGGTGTGAACACCCATGTGATGCAAATCAAGTCTGAGGAAAAAAAGGCTCAAAAAAAATAAAAAAATAAAAATAAATAAATAAAATCGCACCACACAGACATTGCATGTGATTTGAACAGGAATGCAGTGAGATTCCTGTGCGAATTACATGCAGTGTCCTGTACCGCACAAGTGTGAATCTAGACCAAACCCAGTAAAATGGCTTGCAGAACTGTATTCGGCAGTGTAGTCAAACTGCCAGATGAGTAAACTGTGTCTAGAGAGGCCTTGTTTGCAGGTTTCACAGGAGGAGTAAAACCCAAATAAAATGCCACTCAAGTTTAATCTGGTCCACAAGCGAAACCCAGCAGGTACAAAAACCAGTGGGTATTAGGATGGACCTCTGAAAATATTCCATAGAGAAGCAACATTAGCTCTTGTACCCAATACACAAAATATGGATGAAATTCACAGCCATTCTGGAAAATACTTTTTTTTTTTTTTTTTTTTTTTTTTTAAACCTGGTCTCCGTGATTGCACTACAACTGCCATATGAACCTTAACTACATCTTGCTTCGAAAGGTGCACAAATATATTGTGGAATCAGATGCCTGGGTCAGGCTCCAAATGTTTCCATCCCATCTATACTATTAGGGATGAAATCTATTAGGGGCATACTAGAACACAAATGCTCACACTTTTTCCTGTCCAGCCCGTTTGGCAGGAGCCGAGCATTATATATTGAAACAGTAAATGACAGCTTCCCACCGCCACAGGTTCCTAAGGAGTCTGCAGGTGATTGCAATGACTGCTTCCCTAGGAACCACTGACATCACTGGGAATCCCTGCCACATGAGTAAAGGGACGGGGATAGCAGTTCATTTCTAACCACATCGTGCAAAGTTTGTTGCCCAAAAGTAGCTCCTTTTTGGGAGACAAGCTTTGCGCAATTCTCATGTGTGACAATAATGGCAAAATCGCACCGCACTTGAGATGCAATTAAAAATGAATGGAAAATAAACATACATGTCACGTTTTTTCTTGATTGCAGTACAATTTGGAATCATGGGCAGAATTGCGGTGACTCCACCCATAGTCCCAAATCACCAGATTTGAGGCCTAAAATATCATATACAGTGGGTAAAGAAAAGAATCACTCCCTTTAAAATAATCACATTTTATTGCTTTGCAGTCTGAAATGAAGACAGACACAGTTTTTGTTTTCTACAGCTGTATTTACTCAGTGCAACTTATAACAACCCAGTGAAAGATATAACACCAACATGTCAGAAAACAATTCAAAAACAGAATCAGAGTTAGAAAAAGGATCACCCCCTTGTGTCAGTATTTTGCTGAACCACCTTTTGCTTTAATTACAGCCTCTGGTCTATTGAGATGTCTCTACTAACTTTGCACATCAAAATTTCACAATTATTGCTTCTTTGCAGAACTGCTCAAGTTCAGTTAAATTTGATGGTGACAGTTTGTGGACTTCGGTCTTCAAATCATTCCACAGATTTTCAATGGGGTTTAAGTCTGGGCTCTGACTGGGCCATGCAAAGACATTCACCTTTTTCTCCTTCAACCACTGTGTGGCCAGTTTTGCTGTGTGCTTTGGGTCATTGTCATGTTGGAAGGTAAACCTTCTTCCCATTGACTACTTTCTGGCAGAGGGCAGCAGATTTTCCTCAGGAAATTTGACAGTATTTTGCCCCATTAATTTTTCCTTCTATCCTGACAAGTACTCCAGTCCCTGCTGCAGAGAAACACCTCCATAACAGGATCTTACCACCTCCATGCTTTACTGTAGGAATGGTGTTATTTGGATGGCGAGCTGTATTGGATTTCCGCCAGACATACCGTTTAGTGTTGAGGCCAAATTATTATTATACAGGATTTATATAGCGCCAACAGTTTGCTCAGCACTTTACAATATAACGGGAGACAATACAGCAACAATACAGTTCAATACAAGAGGGATAGGAGGAGCCTGCTCCTTGGAGCTTACAAGGAAATAATTCAATGTTAATCTCATCTAACTCCTTTTTCCATGTGGCCTCAGAATCTTCCATGGTGTGTTTTTGCAAAGCTGAGTGGTGACTGCATGTGGCCTTTCTTCAGGAGTGGCTTATTTCTTGCAACCCTCCCATACAAGCCACATTTGAGGAGAATTTTATATTGTTGTCACATGCACACAATGACCACTCTTTCATAAATTCCTGCAACTGCTTCAGTGTCTCTTGGTATCCTCTCTGACCAGTTTCCTTCTGGCTCTTTCATCCAGTTTGGAGTGACATTCTGATTCAGGGAGGGTCTGTGTTGTACCAAATACCTTTGGCATTGATAAAGCCTTTGAGCATTTTTTGTACCCATCTCCTGACTTGTGCATGTCCACAACTTTATCCCGGAGATCTTTTGACAGTGCCTTGCCATCCATAGTTGATGGTTTGCTTCAGGTGCAGTACCAGGGACTGAAATGCTCCAGGAAACGCTTTTCATGCTAAGGTAATCAAAATGACCACAGCTAATCACAGTTAGAAACCAAATGGCTTTGTAGCCACTGAGAAGGTGATTAGCTACACCTGATTGAAGTTACAAGTCATTTTTAGGAGGAAGGTGATCCTTTTCCCAACAGTGATTCTGTTTTTGAGTTTAATTTTTTCTTCCTGACATGTTGGGGTTATATCCTTCACTTGGATGTTATAAGTTTCACTTAGAAAATACAGTAAATACAGCTGGCTAAAGCAACAACTGTGTCATTTCAGGCTGCAAAGCAACAACATGTGATTCATTGAAAGATGGGTGATTCTTTTCTATATCCACTGTACATCGCACAGATGCGCCCCTTCACAGGCAGGATAAGGGCAACCCCCAGGCTTGGCATGTGCCTCCTTGCCAAGTGGAATTTAAAAAAAAAAAAAAAAAGTTTCTGCACTGGTGCATGTTCCTTAGGGCAAAAAACCCTTTTAGGTATTAGCCCAGAAAAAGGGCATTTCTAATTTGACAGATTTAGCTCCCACTGGTGTCAATGGGGTTTGGCAGTTTCTGGTCAAGCCTGGTCAATTCGACTCAACCCTGTATGTTAACCTTCTGTCTCTTCTTGTTGGCACAGGGTTGTTGGAAACCCCAAACAACCAATACTGCATTGAATTACCCATGGGATGATATATGCACAATTTTACACTCTCCAACTATACCTGATACCCTTTGGATGTTGACACCTGCTCGATTTCTAAAGTAGTGCATGTACTGCTTTTGTTGCGATTTGCATAGACATCCGTGTCAGATCTCTTGATAATCGCAACTGAAATCAGCAGGTCACCTGATTTTGAAATTGTGGGACTTCACTGTAAGTCGCACGATTTCAAAATCGGCTTGGATGTGACCGGGGCTTAATTAAATCAATAAAATATGTAAAAAGCGTACCGCAGTCAGATTCCAAAACTAGTTATCCAGGATTAAGGATCATCTCTAGTTGAGCAAGGAAGGCATCTATTTAGCTTTCTTCTAACAGAATCCTATCACCACTCATAACAAGAAAGAGGGAAGGTTGCACTGTGGCATCACAGACACCCTCCATGGTTTTCAGGTGCAGTTTATGATGCATTAAAAGGTGAAGTTCATCTTTTACAAAAACTGATCCATGCAGAAAAGGGGGCCAAATAGTTTAAAATACACTAAACCATTTGTAAGAAAAAAATTGTTTAAAGCAAATTCCATAACTGTAGGCCATTTCTGTCCCCTAGTACAGCTGGGCAATATGCTCCTAATGTTTACAGTACTATCTTCTGGATAATTTCCACAAAACAGGAATCGTTGTGTTCTCACTTTAAGCACAGGGTAACTAGCACTTACTAGCACTGTGAAATGTGCTTTCTCCAGTCACAGCACGCTCTCCTGTCACACAGCCTCACCAGGACACTTACACTGCTGTAGCCACTATCTTACACCCTGGACAACAAAAAAAACTAACATTGAGCCTCCTTCTTTGAGGACCAATGGATAATCATTTTAGTTGTCCTCACAAGGCTCAGCAGCCAATTTATTGTAGCCCAAAGCCTGCCAGTAAGCTAGGATATAGGGATGTAAACATTGGGAGTATTTTGGCCAGGCTTCATAGGTGACAAAAAAGGTCTGAAGGAATGGCATCTGCACAGTGTATTTTTAGCTCCTTGGGCTCTTATCTGCATGGGCCAGTTTATGTAAAAGGTAAACTTTGCCTTTTATGCACATGTGTAGCTGTATGAGCGATTCTGTCTGCAAAGAAAGATACCTCTGTGAAAACTCTCCAAGGCTCAATACCAATTCAGCACAAGTTGTGCCTTTACACTTGGTACTCCTACACACATTGCAGGAATGAAAAGGACAGCTTCTCACACAGACACCCTACTCTCTTTCCTATTAAGGTTTGGGCATGAACACCAGCTTTGATAGCATAGGATAAAGCACAAATGCTTCCAGGGCTTACCTTGAGCGATCACCTCATCGATCTTCTTGCCTTTCAGCTCGCCGATTACCTATGGGGGGAAAGGAAAGAAAGTGGAGATGGTGTGTTATTCTTATTTTATTTAATATTAATAAAACAAAACTCTGTAGAACAGGAAAATAATCCCTTGCAGCGGGGCTTCCCCTGCACTGCTAGAGTAAATGGTTGTTTATGCCTTGAATACCAGTAACGAGACCCTTTATTTCCCCACACCCCGGCATGTTCCTAGTCTCCCTGATGCTCCAGCTTGTGCATAGTCCCCCTGAACACCTTAGATTGTATGTCCCTTGAGGGTTAGGGACTGATGTGAATGTACAATATATATACATGTAAAGCACTGTGTGAATTGACGGTGCTATAAGTATCTGTAATAATAATGTACAAAGCAGGACTATTAGCCCCGCACTGTAATTGAGGATGTCAGAGTGGCTGTTGAAGCACCTCAGAGAAGAGACTGCAGGACATTCACCAACAGTGAGGAAGGTAAAACTGGCATTGGAGTGCAGATGTGTGGATAAGTCAGGCTCCACTCATTAAACTCCTGTTAATTACGATATACGAGGGGCATTCAAGTCAAACTAGGACTTTTGAGTTAAAATAATAAAAGAACAAAATTTCAAGGACTAGAAACTGCATTTATTTTTTTTACATACTTCCCTGCTACATTTATACACTTATCCCAGTGTTCAAGTAATGCCTTGAAAGCTTCGGCACAGAAAGATTGGTCAGTACGCCTGAACCATCCAAAGACAACCTGCTCCACTTCGTCATGATTGTGTTCATCGTTCCTACAGAATGATGCGTCTCTTGTGCAATTTCACGACATGTTATGCTTCGATTATCCAGGATCAGGTGCTGTGGGCTGGGTATCACCATGGCAGGGATCGTCACTAATGGACATACGGCCACCTTTGAAATGTTTACACCATTCAAAGTCTTGCTGCGGCTGAGTGTCTCATCACTGCACTGTGCTTGAAGTCTGTATATAACCATGGGCAGCACAGTGGCTAAATGGTTAGCAATTCCGCCTGGCAGTACTAGGGTCGCCGGTTCGAATCCCAACCACGGCACCACCTGCCTGGAGTTTGCATGTTCTCCCTGTGCCTGCGTGGGTTTCCTCCGACTCCAGATTCCTCCCACACTCCAAAGACATGCTGGTAAGTTAATTGGCTCCTGTCTAAATTGGCCCTAGCATGTGTATGTATGAATCTGAGTTAGGGACCTTAGATTGTACACCCCTTGAGGGTTAGGGACTGATGTGAATGCATAATATATATGTAAAGTGCTGCGTAAATTGATGGCCCTATATAAGTACCTGAAATAAATAAACCATGGGCTTTACACCTTCGTTTACAAGAAACTTCATCTCCACATGCTGTTCCATGCACACACTAACACTGTTGTCTTCCATCTTGGTTAACGGTCTGTGGACTGGCTAGCGACATTTGCGCAGCCCATCAGTAGGACACACTTGCCACTTGCTACTGCATGTAGTACCGCCATGCTAACATCCTTTTTATACCTGTAAAATGAAAAGTCCTGGTTTGACTTGAACACCCCTGCTAATTCTCATTAAACATGAAAACCTGTACGAATGGCTGTTGCTTCTTCTACAAATGCCAGTTATCTGGCTATCATGCGGTCAGTGGTGTCAATTCTTTGAGAAACTGACCTGAAAATAAGAAAATATGTTGACGTTCCTCTATAATCTGTACACTTGTTTTAGATCAGTAAAAATGTAATAAATCCACAGACTGCAAGTAGCATTTGTAGAAACAGATCAGCATTAGTATCAATTGACAGGTTTCCTTCAATCCTTTTGCTGCCAGAGATTTTTTGCACTTTTAGAAAGTAATTTTAGGCCCAAAGATTACATAAAACCTACAAACATATTTTCTGAAAGCAGACAGCAAAGAAAATAAAAGTTGTAGTTCCAATTTTTTATGTCACACAATCTTAGCACAATAGTTTAAGAAATGCTAAATTAATTTTAGGACACACAGACAATAAATTTCCCAATTTTGGTAAAGTACCAAAGAAGAGGTTGCGCTAAATAAATAGATAGCATGCCAAGCCTTAAAATTGGATGCACTCATGAAGCAGCAACAAATTTCAATACCCTATATTTTCTATAGGCGATGCTTTAAAAGCTCCTACAGCTCATCAGTTTAGAGGTAACCATAAATAATGGGCATAGAATTATTGCTGTAACTATGGCTTGCACTAGTATGGATATGAAGTGCAGTCAATGTTTTCGCACATAGGCGCCACAAACATTTGCATTTTATGCTTGTACATCCGTATATTGGGGGGGGGGGGATTTTCTTGAGGAGGATTTTAAATGCTAGGATGTCACAATTTTTTTTTTTTTTTACACTTTTTACTTTTTTTTGCTTAACTTTATTTTCCCATCAGATAGGGGACACCCTGATGTCTCACCTGAACTTCAATTAATGTAATGGTATGCAGAACGAACTCCATTACATTCTGGATATTAACCACTTCCAGACCGGACACTTTTACCCCCTTCCTGACCAGGGCAATTTTCAGCTTTCAGCACTATCACACTTTGAATGACAATTGTGCGGTCATGCAACACTGTACCCAATTGAATTTTTTACCATTTTTTTGAGACAGATAAAGCTTTATTTTGGTGGTATTTATTCACCGCTGGATTTTTATTTTTTTTTTTTGCTATGCAAATGAAAAAGTCAAAAAAATTTGAAAAAAAGTTTTGTTTTTTTTTAAATTTTGCAAATAAATAATATTTCATCATAAATATTTGCCAAAATTTATTCCGTTATCTTTTTAGTTAAAAAAAAAAAATCCAAATTAGTTTATAACCAAAAATTATAATTTTTAAACATTTTTATATTATTTTTTATTTCTATTTTTTTTTACATACTGTCACCCTAGCAGTACAGTATCACCAAGGTGACACTGTACTACTTGTGGGGGGTGATGAAGATTTTTTTTTTTTTTACACTGATTGCTTTTACACCCATATAGGATGTAAAAGCAATAATTTCTCTTTCTCTCTGTGTGCATTCTTGCACTCATTGAGAAGTACTGAGTGAGCTGTGATTGGTCACAGCTTGTCACATGGTACAAGGCTGTTGTGAATAGGCTTGTACCATGTGACCTCTGTGATCATTCACAGATTTCACACGTAGTAAGCAATGATGTCACAAGTGACATCTTGCTTACTACTTTGCATGTGATCACTGATTGGCCAATCAGTGATCACATGATCGGGACCTCGTACAGAGGTCCCGTCCGACGATCGGTGTTTCACTGTGTCCGGAGGACACAGCGGGACACTGGATCACGATGCTGCGCGCTCCCAGGGAGCGCGCACAAGCAGGGTGCGGGGAGGCCGCAGTGCCACCGTCCGGCCGTTTATATGCAAACGGCCGGTCGGGAAGTGGTTAACACCAGGACCCAGAATGACTTTTTGCATGCCGATTCCAGTCAATAACAGGAATAAGAGATCAGCAAACTGACTGAACAGCGCTTTTTTTTTTTTTTTTTTAACAGGAACGAAGCAGGAATTCCCCATTCAGTTCCCAAAACACAGTGCTGTACCTTATATGTAGCTGATACTTCATACAGTTTAGATAGCGCTTGCATGTGTTAGTGAGGGAAATACTAAAGATAAATGAAACCTGAAGTTAGAATTAAGCACAATTTGTGCATACAGCCTTTAAAATGACTCGTAAAAATATATATGGGGACTTCCATTATTGGACTCTTTGAGAATGTTTCTTCCCGGATGTCAGACTGTTGCATTGGCTTTAATGCTGAATATCTGACCTGGAACAAGCATAGATATGAGGAAATTTGACACTCATATGAACAAGCTTATTTCAGGTCTGTGAATAAAAAGTATTAAACCCAGGCAAATTACATTTTAAAGAGGGACAGCAATTGAAGCTCATATACTTTAAGGTGGACCACCAAAAATTTCAGAAGACACTCAACGCAGATACCTTCTCAGCACGCTCCTTTTCCAGCTCAATGCCAACGCTGTCTAGAATCTTCTTCAGATCAGCAATTGAAGGGTTGTCATTACCGCCAAGCACAGCCAAAAGATAGGCAGCTATGTAACGCATCCTGTTTGGGGGGGAAAAAAATAATTTATCGTACATTAAAGTCCAGAGATGGTCTTAGACTGAAAATGTAATACAAGAGATTGTCAGAAACTAAAGACGTGATACAGGCTATGGTCACAGACTGCAGGCATGATACAAAAGCGATGGTCGCAGACTGCAGGCATGATACAAGAGATGGTCGCAGACCACCTCTTGAGCCACTGGCTCCCATTGCTGTCAATCACAGCCAGTGAGCCAATGAAGAGAGAGGGAGCGGGACTATGCAGCAACTGTGTGTGTGAACGGACACGCAGAGCTGCAGCACAGGAGCGTGCCCACTCAGGTGATCCCATAGACCAAACAGGAGGGAGGGGCCTTGAGCGCCAGCGGGGGGGGGGGGGGGGGGGGGGGGAGACCTGACAAGAGGAATATATGGGCTGCTGTGAGCAAAACCACTGCACAGAGCAGGTAAGTATAACATGTTTGTAATTAAAATAATAATAATAATAATAATAAAAATGTCTTTAGTATCACTTTAAGGACTTTGTTTTTGTTTATTTAGAATTAGGGATAATTATTATCCATTTGCCCTCCATATTTACCCGCCTTAATGACCAGGCCATTTTCTGCTATATGGTGTTGCCTTACTTTATCTTAACTGACAATTGCGTGGTCATGCAATGCTGTACATAAATGAAATTTGTGACATTTTTTTCCCCCATAAAGAAAGCTTTCTTTTGGTGGTATTTGATCAGCTCTGGGTTTTTTATTTTTTGCACTATAAAAAAAAAAAAAAAAATTTTGAAAAAAAGTTTTTAACTTTCTGATATAAAACATATCTAATAAAAAAAAAAAAAAAAAAAAATATTTCTTCATAAATTTAGGCTAAATATATATTATGCTACATATTTTTGGTAAAACAAATCCCAATAAGCGTATATTGATGGTTTGCGCAACATTTATAGCATCTACAAACTATGGTATATATACTGGAATTTTTTTTTCTTTTTATACCAGTAACGGCAGCGATCAATGACTTATAGCGGGACTTTAATATTGTGGCAGAAAGTCTGATACTAACAAATTTGTGGGAACAGTGACACTGAGGGCCGGTTCACACTATAGAAACACAGTTCAGATGCGTTCTGGATCGGTTTCTGCATGCGTGTTTTTGATGCGTTTGTTATGCTTTCCAGTCAATTTTTTCCCCCTCTTTTTCTTCAATTTAAATAGGGATATGTGCGTTCCAGTACAATTCTGTGCAGGAAAAATGCAGCCTGTTCGACTTTTTTTTTCTGCAACTGGAAATGAAGCACTGATGAGAACTATGATATTGACAAATCCAAACATAAATGAAAACGAGCGCTAGATCTATGAAAATGGAGCAGCTAGCATGAAAGGTAGTAACCTCAGAACCTTCTATAACAGAAAATATATAAAACATGCAGCGCTGAAATGGATAATAATTGCCATAAAATAGTTACTATTATGATGTGCCTCAATATACCGTGTATTATACGGATATATATAGCGTCTCTAAATCCCAGAGTAAAATGTGATTAAACGGCACTCCACAACGGTACAGATATGTGATATGATCAGTCTTACTAAAAGTCAGGATATTAATGGTGACATTGGTGGTAGATATAGATTGCACCTGGCCAGATGAAGAGTCCACGTGGTAGGGTCACTGAGAGCAATGTCAGGAAGTTGCTCTCCGTGACCCTACCATGTGGACTCTTCATCTGACCAGGTGCCAAATAGGCATCTGTAAGTGTCATTCCTTCTACTGTTATTCACTTCAATAACGCTGTGTTACATGATGGAATTTTTTGTGCTTGGGCTCATTTCCCTATGCGGCTGCCTTTAAAGGAGACCATTTGATGACATCTTAAACTGCTGGCACCCTCTGGTGGATTTCATTTGTACCACAGAAAACAATTGAGTACTGTCCGTGATTCTTTTCTTATTTGCACTAACATACAATTTTGAGGACAAGCTTTCGGGGTATGTCCCCTTCTTCAAGGTCTAAGCAGTACTATTAAAAATCACAAAGTTTAAGCAGAATGTTAGAATGGATTGAGAGAAAAAAAAAAAAAAAAAGGGCTACAGATAAGATACATCAAAAGTGAGGGGGGGAGGGGGGATACAACACTCACACAGAGGGGGTCAAGTTTTAGCTAATAGATAGTCATAAAGCTGTCGGATAGTGGTTGAGGAATCCCATGTCCAAATTAAGACCGTTATCTTTAGTGTCAAATAGAATTATCATTCTTAGTTCAAATGTTTTTCTTTCCTGGATGGATTTAAATTTTCCTTTCAGAACTAAAATATTGAGGTCTTCCATATTGTGGGCTGGCTGTTGTGAGAAATGGTGTCCTACAGGTGTGCAGAGGTCATCTTCTTTATGTTCCTTGATGGTATGCCTGTGTAAATTCATCCGTGTTTGCAACCTCTGTCCTGTTTCACCAACATAAGATCCTTTGCTGCATTTTCTGCACTGGATAAGGTATACAACATTACTGGAGGTAATTACTGGAGTGTCAAGGTGTGTGTACCACACACACCTTGACACTGGGCTAAAGATCCTTGATGACATCTTGATCGCTGGTTCCCTCTTGTGGATTCAGACCGCATCTCCATTATCTGGAAACACTGGCTGATATGCCGCAATCCCTGATGCTGTTCATCAATTGATCCGAATACCAGATGTCCAACTTTAGATGACCCAATACCATCAATTATATGCGCAATAATAAGCGCTATCTGGTTAGTGCAATCTACATCTACCACCAATGTTACCATTAATATCCTGACTTTTAGTAAGACTGATCATATCACATCTGTACTGTTGTGGAGTGCCGTTTAATCACATATTTTACTCTGGGATTTAGAGACGCTATATATATTCGTATAATACACGGTATTTTGAGGCACATCATAATAGTAACTATTTATGGCAATTATTATCCATTTCAGCGCTGCATGTTTTATATATTTTATGATATTGACAACCATATAACCTACTTTGTGCGTTTTGGATGCAGAAAAAAGCATGTAGTGTGAACTGGCCCTAATACAGTGATCAGTACTAAAAATATACACTGTCACTGTATTAATGACACTGACTGGGAAGGGGTTAAACATCTATAGCAGGGGTGTCAAACTGGCAGCCCTCCAGCTGTTGCAAAACTACAAGTCCCATCATGCCTCTGCCTTTGGGAGTCATGCTTGTAGCTGTAAATCTTTCAATGCCTCATGGGCTTGTAGTTTGGTAACAGCTGGAGGGCCGCCCTCGAGTTTGACACCTGTGATTTAGAGCGATCAAAGGGTTAACTGTGTGCCTAGCCAGTGTTTTCCTGTGTACATTTAGGTGTTTTTACTTGACAATGTGCTGGATTCTATTCCCTGCTTTGCAGGGAAAAAAAATCCACTCTCCTCGCTATTATATATATATATATATATATATATATATATATATATACATACACACACACGATTCTGCACAGAACTGCCACCCTGTAGCAGTACATCTGCTTTAGGCTGGGTTCACACATATGCGGTGCGGTATATCACATGTGACTCACACAGGAACTGCAGTCCTGTGCAAATCACATGCAAATTGTGAGCGGTGCGATTGGAGCCATACATTTTGTATGGCTCCAATCACACCGCATCAAAAAGGTGCAAGACCCTTTTTTTTGGTCTGTACTGGAATCGGATTGCATGGGTAGTCATACCCATGCGATCTGATTCTGCACATTGCACCGAGTTTTGTGGCCCAATTTCGGAGTGTTAACACACACACACACACACACCTGCAGTGGTTCGAATGAACAGGGTGTGATTTTGATGCAGTGCAGAATTCGCATAGAAACCACTGCAAATTCCACACCGCATAAGTGTGAACCCAGGCTTAGGGCGGTCGAGAAGTGGTTATAAGACACATTGTTTGTGAACTGAGTGGTACAATATTTTGAAAGTGAATATTTATCGATACATTTTATATAGTATAACACTTTTTGTTTTAGGTAGTTTAACACTTGATATTTTGAGTGCAGTCATACATATATTTGTTTCTATGATACAAGAGATGGTCAGAGACTGCGAACATGGCACAAAATTGACCAGAAACTGTAGACACGCTGCAGGAGACTGTCAGACTGTGACATGCTACAAGAGTTGCTGGAGACATGCTTCAGGAGACACAGGGCTCAGTCACACCTGCTTTAATCTCTGAAGAGCAATCCACTTTCAGATTGCTCTTTAGGGAGCATTCGAGGTGGTGAGGTGTTGTATTGCCTCCTTGCTTGTCGTTTTAACCCCCTATACAGTATCTCACAGAAGAGAGTACACCCCTCACATTTTTGTAAATATTTTATATCTTCTCATGTGACAACACTACATTGTAGCAAAGTGTCATTTCTGCAAAGTAGTGAGTGTACAGCTTGTATAACAGTGTAAACTTTGCTGTCCCCTCAAAATAAATCAACACACAGCCATTAATGTCTAATCCGCTGGCAACAAAAGTGAGTACACCCCTAAGTGAAAATGTCCAAATTGGGCCCAAGGTGTCAGTATTTTGTATGGCCAGCATATTTTCCAGCATTGCCTTAACCCTCTTGGGCATGGAGTTCACCAGAGCTTCACAGGTTGCCACTGGAGTCCTCTTCCATTCCTCCATGATGACATCACAGAGCTGGTGGATGTTAGAGACCTTGCGCTCCTCCCCCTTCGTTTGAGGATGCCCCACAGATACTCAATAGGGTTTAGGTCTGGAGACATGCTTGGCCAGTCCATCACCTTTACCCTCAGCTTCTTTAGCAAGGCAGTGGTCTTGGAGGTGTGTTTGGGGTCGTTATGTTGGAATACTGCCCTGCGGCCCAGTCTCCAAAGGGAGGGATCATGTTCTGCTTCAGTATGTCACAGTACATGTTGGCATTCATGGTTCCCTCAATGAATTGTAGCTCCCCAGTGCCGGCAGCACTCCTGCAGCCCCAGACCATGACACTCCCACCACC